CAGGTCAGCAGGCCTGGGCACGGGAAACATTTCCCATGACACTGTGTTCCTTTCGCCTGGGTCCTGCCCTTCTGACTCAGGTGAGCGTAGCTGACTGGCTGTGGGTGGAAAACTCCTAGCAAACCCAAGGCCTCCCTAGGTGTAAAGCCTGTAACAGTTCTTGAAACAAACTCAAATAAAAGGCCCTACATCTTCCTTTGATACATGTGGTGGGTAGACTCTAAGATATCCCCCAACTGTCCTGGATTTATGGCAATCATGCTCCTGACCCCATCTCCTTGGATTTTGACATGAGCAAGAAATGAGTTTGCATTCGTCGAGCTCAGCCACCAAAAGCTGGAGGATACTTGCAGCAGCAAGCGGGCCTCTCCTGACTAATCTGTCGCTACTCTGCCCCGACCAACATTTGCCAATGGGAACGCAGACTCTGCTGTCAAATCTTTTGGTCATACGATTCTTTTTTTTTTTAGCTCGAAATCTGGGTTTTTAAATTTCCTGATTTAAAAATGTTGGCTACTAAACCCAATTTATTATTATTTCAGATGCTCTGTGGGCCAAATTAAACACATCTGTGGGCTCCACATGGCCTGTAGGCTGCCAAGTGTAACCTCTAGGCAACAAGCTCCAAATCCAACAGCATTTATTTTTAAATTGGTGTTGGTCTAAGAGCCGGTGCACAGTCATCATCATGTGGATCCCAGAGAACAGTTCAATGCCCACAGGGAAGCTGATCAGGTTTTTCATTTCCACTCCAGCCAGACTTCCTCGTATTCTTCAAGTTTCTTGGCACACTTGGGACACTCTATTGAAACTCTGGAGAAGTCAACTCTGCAACCCAATCAGACGTCACTTTGGTTTCAGTTGGTAGGGGGTTGTGTGTGGATACCAGGGACAACCAACCGAAGCGGGGTAACTGGGAATTGAGCCAGGGCCTTTGCATTACATGCTCAGGCCCCTTTGTTTCGTTTATTTATTTAGAGACAGCATCTTGCTAAGTTGCCCCGGCTGGTTGCAATTTGTGATCCTCTTGCCTCAGCCTCCAGAGTACCAAAATTGCAGGCAGGTACAGTGTGTGCCCAACCACATTTCAAAGGAGAGAACTGAGAAGGCTTTACACTTGTGCCTAGTCACAGTGTACACAGGCACACCCATCACCATCACATTTAACTGCTGATAGTAACTGCTACAGCTGATGTGCAGAGCACTTAGCACATGCAGTCCCAGGGAGCCCGCCACAGGTACCCTGCAGCTGAACCCTTTTATCGGCCCACTGTTATGCCTCATTCCCCTCTTCCAGTGCCTTCGTTCCTTCTTCCCATTTTCTAACAAATCTTTCTTGAACACTCCTGGGATTCGCAGGTGAGTGGCAGGGGTTAATAAATACAGCATAATTGAGAAAGGAACAGAAAGCAGAAAGGGGGCTCACCTGTCCCCACACATGGCTGGGCTTGGACAGTGAGGCCTTGCTGCCCAAGTGGGAGGTGGCAGGAGGTGTTCTATGCTGACCCAAAGGATGAGTCTGACCAGAAATGCAGAAGCCAGGGCGGTGGAGGGGTGTGGCGTCGTGGGCCATCGGTTTCCTCTCCACCTCCCCATCCCCACGGGGAGCAAGCCTGCCTGCCTTCTCCACCTCCGAAGCTGTCAGGATGTGCCATGGTGCTCCACCTGAATGCAGGAAAGCTCAGAAGAAATAGGGGGTGCTCTGTTAAAGGCTTTTCCAGGGAAGCCGTGGGTGCATCCTACCACCTTGCTAGCAGTGTGCTGATTGAGGGTCCCCTCACTGCCATGACCTCAGTCTTCATGTCTGTCAAATGGAAGAAAGCACAGTTCCTGCTTCACGGGGCAATTCGCTCTGTGGTCTCTGGAGTGTGCAACGTGGAATACACTGTGAGCTCTTCATGAAAGTCTGACATTATCAAGACTTGTTACAAATTCCAACCAGGCAAAACAGAAGCACCCAGGCCACTGACTTGTTCTGTGGTTTGATTTCACAAAGAAAAGCAAAAGTCAGGTATTCATATGCACAAGCCTGTAATCCCAGCAGTCTGGGCAGCTGAGACAGCATCGCAAGTTTGAGTCCACTCTGAGGGACTTAGTGACTTAGTGAGACCCTGTCTCAAAATTTTAAATTTTATAAAAATCCTGGGGGTTTAGCTCAGTGCAAAGGTTCCACCCTCAGTACTGCGTGAGAAAAGAAAGGAAGGCAAGGCAAGACTGAAGGTTCCAGAGGCCTGGGGGCTCTGTTCCCGACATCAGCAACCCCAAGGCCCTGCACAGCAGAGAGAGCAGTTCCCTTTGCTGCCCCGACCCAGATTCTGCCGCTCCTTCTAAGGGTGCCAAGCACCATCCCAGCAGGAGAGCAAGAGCTCAGTGACAGGTTTTCTTCTTGCTCCTGTCCAGGGTCCAAGGCTGGGCCGGTGTGGGGTGCAGACCTCTGGTTTTCAGGGCACCCAGGCCTAGTCGGTGAGGGCCTCTTGGCGTAAACCTTGTATTCAGAAAAGCTTTTTAAAAAATATTAGATTATTAACATCACTTTCCAAAGGTGCCACACAGGTGGTCCCAGAGTCGTGAGGGACAGAGAAAGGCAGAGAGCTACCATGCCCCTTCACACCATGTCCCAAGGTCCTGCTTCCTGCACCTGCCACCGGCCCTGTGCCTAGCACAGCTGCACTGCAAAGTATGTGTCTGTGTTTATGAACTTACATTTGTTCATGTAAATGTTTACAATTGATTGCACGATCATTTTTATAAGCCTGCTTTAGAAGTGTTTGTTTGTTTGGTATTAGGGATTGAAACCCAAGGCCTTTGCATTGAGTGGCATCCCTACCCTTTAAAAAATTGTTTTTTAGGGTCAGGGATTTAGCTCAGCAGCACAGCACCTGCCTGGCAAGCGTGAGATCCTCAGTTCAATCCCTGGTACAAAAAAAAAAAAAAAGCACAAAATAAATATTTGTTTTTAGTTTGAGACAGGACAGTGCTAAGTCACTAAGTTGCCCAAACTGGGCTGGAACTTGTAATTCTCCTGCCTTATGTTACCAGTGAAGAAACTGAGGCCCAGAAAAGTTAAGCAGTGCCCAGGGTCTCCCAGGCTGGTGAGAAGTAGCATAGGGAAGATGGCCGCCCTTAGCCTCACACTGGGGCCAGTGAGGGTGCCCCTAGTCCACCTGCACCAAGGCAATGGTTCCAGAATTTGTGACTTGATCCATGAGAGCAACATAGCAATCACCGACTGACTTGGGTCTCTTCCCCCAGAGACAGGTTCCTTGATTGCAAGGACATATCTTGTTTGTCACCACGGCCTGTCAGTTCTGGGCTTGGCCCTCTTTGTTCCATAAACAACTGCTCTCTAGGCCTCAGTCTTCTCATCTGAAAAGTGTGCTATCAGTAAGATAATATGATTCATGTGCTTGGCACATGGTAGGCCCATGGAAACATTGTTAGTGGTCAATCCTTTGCCTCAGGATGGGTCTGATCTATCTGACTTTTGCCGATAGCAGTTTCAAACAGCTACTGGAAAAGCCATCCCTTTGGGTCCCAAAGTCCCCAGACAAACATGAGCCTGGACCCCTCAGCCTGCCTTGCTTGTCTAATGCACTGCCCTGCAGACTTCTGTAGTTACAGCCAGATGAGGACAGGTGCCACAGGGCCATGGGATCAAAGTCCTAGACAGGGGCTGAGGCCATGGGAACCCTGGGAGCAGGTGGGTGGGAGGCCCAGGCAGAGGGAGAGGTGGGGCAGTCTGGCCCACACCCTCCTTGGTGAGGGCGGGTCGTGCTCTGTATGCTCCTGGAGTGTCAGAACGCTGGTTAGGCTGGGTGAAGCGTTTTCTGAGTGTGACACTCGTTGGCCACCAACAGAGGACAGCAAATACATTTTTTATGATCCTGGGAGGCTCAGTCCAGTCACGTTTTCACGCAGAGAGGTTGGGCGGTGGAGACGGGCAAATCCTGTCTTGGTTATTTGGATCCTCTTTGGGCTGGACAGGACCTCTTCAGCAATAGAGCTGGGGCGGGGGCGGGGAGGGGGTGTCCCTGGATAGGGATGGGGCCCTACAGGTTTCAGGAGGCAGCCTGGCAGGGGGCTCCCACTTAGTGCTGAAATCGGAAGTCCCACATGGGGTGGGGATATCCGTGCTAAGATTCATTGCTTTGCCAGGTGGAGCGTGGACCCTTACGGTCTGCCCTTCCCCGATTTCCAGCTCATCCCCCAGAGCCTGGGACTGTGCATGCAACAACAAAGTCGCCTTGGGTTGGAGAGAAGGAAGCACAACTTTGTTTTTTAGCTCGAAGGTGGGTTGGTATTTTGGGGAGTTCTTGGAAACAGTGTTACTGCAATTTCAGGTCTGGGGTTTCCAGGGGACTGCGGTCATCCCAGAGTAGGTTAGGGTCCCCGAGGGGTGGGTGAAGAGGGGAGACCACCTGGCACAGTGCCATTCCTACGTGCACGGCGCGCGGGGGGGGTGCTGACAATTGGGGGATGGGTAAAAGCCCTGGCTGCAAGCGAAAGCGGGCAGATCAGAGGGCGGGTCTGGATCTTACGTGTATGCCACCCGTTTCAGGCACCACTGCGTCCCCAGCGCAGGGTCCCTCCAGCGAGCACTTCTGAAGCAATCGTACTCTCTTCCTTCACGGGCAAAGGAGGTATCGGAAGTGGGGAGCCTCGTCCCTCCCGTCTCCCCAGTTTGGGGTACCCTAGGTTCTACCCCCATGGGCCGAGGCTGACGTAGCCCAGCATTTCTAGGAATGCCCCTATCCGCGACTATATTAGGCGAGGGTTTCTAGGAAGCCCCCCCTCCCGCCTTCATCCCCGCCCCCGCCGCCGCCGCCGCCCCCACCCACCGGGCGGCGCGCGCGGCCCCAGCTCTCGCCCTCTCCCCGGCCGGGGCGGAGCCGCCCGCAGCCTGGGCCGTCGCCGCCGCCTCCCCAGCGCCGCCAACCCCGGCCCGCCCAGCCCCCGCCCCCTGCGGGCCACAGGGCTGGGGGGCGGGGGCCGGGGGGGCGGGGGCGCGGCTTTGTGGCGGCCGCGGACCTGGAGGCCGGGTACAGCCCCGTCGGCTCCGCGCTTTTGCAGAAAAGGATTTTACGCCCCCTGCCCATCACTTGGATCTTGTCTGGGGAGGGGCGAGTTTTTTTGCTGGAAATGCCCCCCGCCGTGCTCCGCAGCCGCGAAGGATTCGAGGCTGGGCTGCGATCCAGGCGGAGGCTGCAGGGCCCGTGGGGCGCACCCCGCCCCGCGCACGCCTGCCGGAGTCCTGGCAGGCGCAGCCCCGGGGGGCTCCCCGCACCCGCGGGAGGCGGCGGCGGTGAGTCTGCCGGCGTCGCGGCTCGGCTCCCTTCCCCGGGGCGGGGCGGGGATCGCGGCAGGTGGGTGCCCAGACCCCCGGGGCCGAGGGGGTGCTGGGCGGCTGCCTGGAGGGCGGGTGGGAGCCGGAGCCGGGAGGCGGTGGCTCTCCGGGGACCGGGCGCGACATGTCTGGGCTCCGATCGCCGCCGCTTCCGCCACCCTGGGGTCCCCACCCCAGCACCTTCCCCAGAGGGGCGTGAGGCCCCGGAGCTGGGGCCGGAAGGACGCAGCCCCCCATCAACCTAAGGCTGGGGCTTGGAAATTAAGGAGGCGGTTGGAAAGCCAACCACCCCACCCCCACCGCGGAAAGCCAGTTTGGGAAACTGACTCGCTGCGTGACCCCGATATCAACGCGGTGGGGCGAGCAGGCCGTCCGCGCACCCGCCGCGCCCCGCAGCTCCACGTGCGTCCCGGGCCGAGCTGGCACAGCTGCTGGACCGCGCGCGCCTCGGGGGGCTGGGCCCCGAGGACTCAGGAGGAGCAGGGAGGATGTCCCCAGAGAGTTACCGCCGTCTTCCAAATAAAGTTAGGGGCCCCCTCCCTGGAGAAGCAGGCGGCTCTGGCACGTTGCCTTTAGCTTTGATGGACAGGAGTAACCTAAGTTAAAAAAACTAGGTTCCCGGGTGTGGATCGGGATGTCTGGGCTCGAGACACCAAGTTAGGGGGAAAGAAAAAGTTAGAGAAATAAAGGACAAAATAAGAAGCTTTTTGATTTGGGGGTGGGGGAGTGGCGTTTCTGATTTCTCCTGCTTCCAGCCCCCGGCGAGGGGAGCGCTGGAATGTGCCACTCGGATCCTCTGAGGACACATCCATATTTATAATTTATTTTTAGGAGAAGTTGTGAAAAGGGAAGGGGGGAGAAAATGGGGAGAAAAGGTGTGCACGAGAGGGCGGCCGTTCGGGAGCCTGAAGGCTAATTGGACTCTTAGCATGGGAATAACGTCTCCCCGTCGGGACTAGAGCAAATTTGACTTTAATGAGTGACAATTAAGGGCATAAATAACTAAACTTTATTTAGCTGGAGGGAGAGCCTTAGAGGCGCCTCAGACGCTGCATTGATGCTTTGCTGAGGGACTTTGGGGGAACTCCTAGTGCTTTCTGGGTTTTTGCGCCTGAATGTTAGCAGCGAGCTAGTGGCGACTGCTCCCAGGTGTAGGTGACATTCTGCGGGATGGACGAATCTTCCCCTCCCTCCCGCAGTCTTCCCGAGGGAAAAGCCGGTAACGGTTCCTTTAATGATGTAGGATTCTCCTAAATCCTGCCTCCCAGGCTGCTGGCTCCGGCGCGGGGAGCTGTGAAGGGGACTTGCTTCGTGCGGAAGGAGGCTCCGTAGGCTGTGGGCCCAGAATCGGGGTTTTGAGGGCGAGATGAGTTTATGTTTTATCCAACTGGCCCACAAAGTCCCGCTTTTGGGGTCATGCTCAACGGCGAGGGATTCAGGCCCCGGCAGCCCCTGAAGAGTGAGGGTGGAAAGCAGACACCCCACACACACACACCCCAGGTTGCTCCCCTAAAACTGGCTGGGGCAGAGCCTTGCTACTTGGGAGAAAGTGAAGGCCAGCGCGGTGTGAGAGTGGGATGCTCTTAAATGCATGTGTTCTCCGTGGCCTGGACCCGCTGTGGTTTTGAGGGTCTTTCCTTGGGAGTCCAAAAAGATTCCCGGAAGGCAAAAATACTGTTCCCCACCACCCCTCTCCCCGGGATTTAATGAGATGTAGAAGTGGGCAGGATTGGCAGGCTGTATCCAACAGTTTGAAATTCCCCAAACAAAGTACCACTAATCCTAATGACAGAAATCCTAATTACATCAGGTTTCTCTTCACATTTGTAAAGGGAGCAGCCTGCTGTGTGTTTCTCCCTGGAATTGCACTATTTCTTTGCATTCTTGCAGTGTTTCTTTTGTGAATCTCGATGTTGGAGGCATTTTATAAGAAAGTGTGGATAATCTGTTCAAGTGAGCCTCTAAGGCCAGGGTAAGGTGGGGTACAAATGCTCCTCTCAGGTCTTTAACCTTACTAAGTTGCATTAACTAAACCGTGCCCTGTCCTCCAGTTGCAACCTGTATAGATGTCCACACCCCCTAAGTTATTTCCAAACCCGTATTTAAATTAAGTGTTCATGGCAGAGAAATGAAAACTGAGCTGTACCTGAAAAACTGTTGAACACAAAGTCCTTGATAAAAGATCTAGTGGTTTGATAGACGTGGCACATGGACACACAGATGACATTTGTGCTGCCTTGGCAAAAAGTTCTTTACTTTCAGAGTCCTTTCACTTTATTATGGGACACGATGAAACAGCACAATTTCCAGGAGTCCGCAGCTCCACCGTGGCTTGTCCATGGGAACTTGTCACACTGTGAATTGTGTTTGTGCTTTGCTGAATCGCCACCCTGAGCTGTCAAATCCTATTTGCCTTGCTAAATAAGGATATCTCACTAAATTAGCCTTTAATGATACTTCTACAAATAGGGTGTTTTACGTGAATTAACGAGGCCGGAACACTGAATGTTACGCCAAGATACTGAGCTATAATCCAGGCGATGAAGCTGAATGTTAAAATTACTGAATTGTTAAGTGTGGAAAATCAGACAGAATTTAGTTCTAAATGTGAAACGATTTCTGCTCTACAGTGAGCATTCCCAAAGCATAGGCATTGCTTATATTTGGCCTTCTGAAACCATGCATGTAACTATGAATACATTTAGCAAACTTTCCCCCTCTCTAAGTCTGCAAATAGGCAAAGTAATATAGAGATTATAAATCAGTACTTTGCAATGAGAGGTCGTCATTAATTCGGGAAACAACCTCAGTTTCTTTCTGTATTCCTACCCGGTTTCCAACAAGTAGAAAAAAAAAAAATTGACGTAAACTGCTGAATACACCCATCTTGGCTTTTCTCATTTTGCTTTTGTGTGTGAAATTTCATTAAGCAGTTGCTAGCCCCCCAAAGAGGTGTGGATTTGGAAGAAAAAATAGCAACTTTCAATTTAGTTCTTAGCAGTGTATAACCCATAAAGGGGAAAAATAATAGAAAAGAATAAAGTATGATTAGATGTAAAATAGTTAGCGATGCAGTGAAAATGATACTTTGCTCAAAATCAAATATGCATTTGTGACTCAAACCAATGAAAGCTGGAAAAATCCCCACAAGGGAATTCCCTATATTCCATGTTCACCAGCATTCCCACCCTATCATTAAGGACAGAAAAAAGATTCTTACTAGATAAACTTAGAGCTCCCTAAGGTGGGCAGCGCTCCCTCCTCTAATTTGGGCTGTAAAGTAAATACAGCGATGTTAGGCATACAGATAAAAATTAGTCTGGCTGTACTTAAGAGTCACGTGTCAGAAAATAAGCGCATATACAAACCAAATAAAACATTGTTGACTAGTGTTACTTTATGATAGAATTTTTTTTCTTGCCCACCTTCGTGAATGCAGGAAAATGTGAAGTCCTTTTTGGCTTTTTAGATTTGGAATGAAATGAAAATAAACCCCTTACCAGCAATCCTGACAACCACAAACATGATGTAAACAACCATAGACTTTTTAGGCCTCATGGCCGGCCATGTAGCCTTTCTAGTGAGAGATAGACATTAAAAAACAGTTTCTAAGGAGCAGATTCTGGGGTTCCTCCATCCCCTCATGCAAGGTTGAGCCCGCAGCTCCCTTCGTGATCTCTTTTCAAAGTAGCTAGTGTTCCGAGGCCGCTTTCTCAGCAGGCCCAGTTGCAAGGGATGTAGGCAAATATTTACAAAGCTTTAAAATAAAAGTTCTAGTTTTACCTTGTCTTCTTTATAGAAAACATCTAAATTTACAGAATGTGAAATAAATTGTTTTTCATTGTCCTGAATGGTTGCACCCTACAAAATGCAAAGATTTTTAGTGTCACAAGCAAGCCATTTAAAAATGCTCTGGCAAGAGGAGTGTATGTGTGGCATATTTAAGCTTTTCTTGAAGATTTGGCCTGGGCGGGGACAGTAGGCAACAGCTAGCTTGAGCCTGAAGTTAGTTGAACCTCCTAGTGTGAAAATTTTCTAAGAGCAGCAAACTTGTCTGTCCTGCTGGAATCGAACATGAAATCAGTGCCCGGGCCTCTGTCATCTGTGCCCAAGACAGCTTGGACCACTGCCAGCCAAGGCCTGGACATGGCCAAATGTAGCCACGACTGGGGCCCAAATGTGCTCCAGACAGGTGCCTGGAGGTCTCTGCTCCTGGGACCCAGGCAGGAGCAGTGCAGACCGAGGTGGGGTGTGTAGCTCGCAGTGTACCCTCCCCAGACACTGTGCGGGGCTCAGTAGCTTGTGGACGCTGTGGCCCACAGGCCAGTTCCTCACTGTGCTCAGTGTACACTTCCAAAAGCTCAGAGGTAAACAGGTGACATTGTCCCTGTCCCACAAGCTCGGAGCAAATCCAGCCTGTGTGAGCACGCAGTGACTGTAAAAGGTTTTGCCATAGAGGTTTGCTCCTGCAGCAGCACAGGACAGGTCCTGTCTGCTGTGTGGGGTGACAAAGGAGATGTGGTGCTCTGGGGCACTTTTAAGCTACAGTGCATTTGTTTTTGCTCTTCTTCTTCAGGCCTGAAGTTCCCTTCCCTCCACAAGCCTACTCCTTCCATCATCCCATTAGACTGGGAGGCAAACTGAGCTTAGGGGGAAGAGGCGCAGCCTGGACATGGGAAGGAGGTGTTGTAAGGCCTGGAGATGTGGGGCCAATAAGCAGAAAAAGGGCCAACATCTGCGGTGGCTGGGGGTCAGACAGGCTGAGTGGGCACACTGGGCAGAAACCCGCAGGGAAGAGGTTCGCAGCCTGCTGAGCCTGGCATCTAGCGTGCTGGCTCTGAGAAGCTGGGCCCAGGCCTGAGTCAGCCAAACCCCTGGGACTCCCATTTGGCCCCAGTAGCTGGACTCCAGGAGACCACAGGCCTTGTAGGTTCCTCATTGTGTCTTGGGATGGCATTAAAAGGCTTCAGTAAAGTGCCCGTGGGTCACGCCGTATTTAGCTGCAGGTTCACCCGGAGAATATTTTGGGTGCTGCTTGAAAGGGGAGCTCTGAGCCCTGTTGCCGACTGTCACATGGCAGGGTGGAATTGCCTCCTCGCAGGCCTGGCTCACATGCCTAGAGACTCTGCCAAAGCTTTGGGACCTCACAGCAGGTGCCAGGGAGCCTGCAACCGCCTGGGAAGCCAGTGCTGGGCTGGGAATGTGTTGGGAAGGCTTTTCGCCCCATTTTCGTTCAGCAGTGATAAGGCCACTTCCATTCATAGAACTCACAGAGGCTGTTTTCAGCCCCTCTCTTCTCCAAGATGGCCCAGTGTGATATGCCAGGCTGCTGAGTGAGCAGCCTCCTCCTCAGGTGTCAGCCACGGTGCCAGGATTAACCCTTTCAAGGCCCTTGGGTGCAGGCTGGCATGGAGGCAGCTTTCTGTAAAGGCTGCCAAAGTCCTATGCGCCTGGATTCCTTAATCCTCAAACCTTAGAGGCAGACCCAAGAGGGCACCTCAGCCTTAGAGGTGACATCGCCCCTTCAGTAATAACCACTTTAGTTAGCTCTCCTACCCAAGCCTTCCATCTGCTGGTCATCCAGCTGTGGAAGGAGCTGCTTACCTTCCAGATGTTTTCATCTGGGTCTCAAAGTTGACTGACTTTTCCCTAATGCAGAGAAGGCATCAGTAGACGGGCCTTTGCTTTGATTATCAGTAAGAGTTGGAATAACCATTTGGGGCTTGGGGCAAAGGTTCAGGCTTTTCTGGGTTACTTGGCTTTCGAGAGTTATCTGTGTGACCTTTTCTGGGGTCCCAGACGGAGGAGGCACAGCTGTATTGAAGCCATGGCTTGCAGACATATTTACCCCACTATTTTGAGGATGTTGAGGTTTCTTCCAAGACACTGCGTGAGCTGCCACACACCCTGAAAGCACCCACTTGTTTAAAGTTTGCTCTAACTTTGTACATTTTTTCCTTTTTAGTTTGGCTCTTGGCGCTCCAAGAGCCCCACTTCCTGCCAGCTGGTTACCGCAGGGAAAATGAGGGACTTTTGGGGGCAGATGTGTTTCCATTCCACTATCATAATGCCCCTAAAAATCCTTATTGCTCTTGCAGTATTCCTCGGGGTCCCTGGGCCAGGAAGACGGCGGCTCTGAGCTCCTTCAGCAACAGGCAGAGGAGGACAAGGGGTCCCTGAGCATTCCTCTCCTGGTCCTTCTGTTCCCCTGGCAAATCTGTCCTCACTGTGCTCAGCCTGGCACCCCGAAATTAAAGGATGCCATCTACAAACACGTACGCTGGTTACTAAACTTGCCTTTTGCCCTCCAGGGGCACAACCCTGGAGCTCAGGCCTGGGAAAAAGGCTGGCTGGAGCCACATCAGCATTTGCTCCTGGGGGTACAGGGGAGGTGGGGAAGCGGAGAGGAAACCAGTGATACCTGTTTGGTGAGGCCTGGTCCTTCCAGCTGGGCCTCTGGGATCTTCACCTTGGCAGGAGGCCCTTGGCAATCATGGTCCACCTGCCAGCTCCTGAGACAGGACATGTCCACTTCTGCCTCGGTTTCCTCATCTGCCAAGGGAGGGTCAACACTCCCTGCTCTAACTTCAAAGTGTTCTTCGATGTACCCTGTGTTATAATGGGTTCAAATGATGTACAACTCAGAAGGTGCTTTGCACGTGATAATGCGTTAATTAATATGATATTTACTTACACACAGAGGCAACTGAGACAAGAGGGGAAACCACAGTCCAGCAGGATGCCTGGGTTTCTGGAGGCAGCCATGCTTATGATCCAGCCCACCGTCTGTGAATTGCTGTGTGACCCCAGGGTATGACTCAACCTCTCTGGGCCTCCAGTGCCTCATGCATGACACCCACAGTTTGGACTAGAAGGTTCCCAAGTCTCTTATTATCATCTGTTCTATGACTTTAAAGGGTTCCTGGTTGAAGATAAAAATTACTTAAATAAGTATTTCTTTCCATGGCTAATTTCTATTTATGACAATATGTTGGTTTTCCATTTAGGGTGGGGGTAGGACTCCTTTTTTCTCTAAATCAATTTATGTAGGTAAAAAAGAATCCAAGGGCCAGGGATTTAGCTCAGTGGCATAAGTGCCTGCCTTGCAAGCCTGTGATTAAAAAAAAAAGAGTTCATTTCTTGAAAGAGAAATACAAAGCAAATTTAGTACAGATGGCCTATGCATGGGACAGAAATCAACACCACAGTTTGTAACATTTCATAGCACTCTTTAAAAAAGAGTTCATGGTCCTCTTAAGGGTTTTCTGTGTCTCCTAGTTGATGGTGAGGGAAATAAGCTGCCAATTAAACCCACGCAGGGCTCTGCTGTGTTAAACCTGTTTTCCATGGGGTGCTGTACCTGGGTCCCAACACCAGAGGCCCCCCTAATCCTACCCCCTCCGAGATCCGATTTATCTCCATTCTAGGATCACTGCCCCGTGCTGTTCCCTGATGGGTCACCGCTTTGCGCCTCAATTTACTTAGTGAAATGGGAAGAGGAAATGCCCTGGAGCAGGTCAGAATGAGATTAAAAAGGGTTAGGGAGCCTCACCAGGAAGCAGGGAGAGTTCAGGAACAGGGTGTCAGCTCAGAGGGCAGCAGGTGCCGGGGCCCTGGAATAGGAGGGGCATGGTGGGGGGCACCCTTGGCCTTGAGGGGCACTTGTCCAGCGGGCAAGCCAGGCAGGGCTATGGCGTCAGCTCCTGTGGGCACTCAGACCCTGCCAGCAGGGGCAACTCGTGTTTCACTTTCTGCTGTGTCATGGGGTGGGAGGTGGCAGAGGGGCCCTGCTGGCCAGCTGGGGCTGGTTCAGAGCCAGCAGACAGCTGCGGACCCAGCTGCCAGAGCCCCACCCCAGCCCTGCAGCCTGCCAGGATGGGAGCTGAGCCCCAGGGCGCCTCTTTATACCTCCCACTGCAAGCCCAGTGAAAGGACCCCTAGTTCTGGAGCTGGAGGGGACACTCCCAAAACAAACATTTCAGCCACATGGGCTTGAAATCTAAAGAACTGTGGCTTGATTCTGGGTCAGATGCCCTGGCTGGACACTGGCTTCCTGCTTGCTTGTGCTGGACAGATTCTATTGAAGGCCTACTGTGTGCTGTGTACTGGGCCAGGTGCGGGAGTCACAGTGGGAGGGTGATGTAGGCCCTGCCCTCACAGGGGCCCCACTGGAATCAGGGAAGAGACAAAAGAGCGGACAAAGGGATAAACAATCCCTTCTTAGGGTGAAAATTCCATGCTAATGGCTGAGTTCAGGACTGGGGTCACAGTGTCCTGGAGCTGTCAGCAGGTTAAGAGCATCACTCCAGGCACCAGATCCTTTGTTTAAATCTAGACTCTTCCATGGACTGGTTATGCAACCTCTCGCAGGAGACTTCTCTTCTGCCTCAGTTTCCTCATCTGTACATATTAGAACAACAGGGTCTGCACAGAGGTTTAGGGAGAATAAAATAAATGAGCACTGGTAAAGAACTGAGAACGGTGCCTGGCCGTGCTATATGTCTTGGTTGCTATATAAGAACAATAAACGTGAGCTACTACTGTAAGACAAAATGCACCCATCAGCGCAAGCTGAGAGCATCAGGAATATGGCTAAACTTGTCTGCCTTGTCAAGCATCATAGTCACAGCCAACACTCGGGTATCCTTACTGATGTCAGAGGATGGGGAAACTGAGGCTTAGGCCTCTGAAGGGCTGTGTTGAGACACAAGCAGTTTGCATCCAGGTTCTGGGCCACTTTTCAAGTAAAGGGTCCATACTCGTTTAAAGCCATGCAACTTGTCATCTTGAATTTCTGAGTACTTTGGAACAAAGGAGCCTCACATTCCAATCCTGCCTTGACATTACTTGACATATCTGAAGCTGTCACTCTTTAATTACCACCATCAGTAGGCCACACGGCTGGGTGCAGAGTAGTTTTCCAATTTATCAACATACAAGCCATGATCAATCCATAAGGTGAATGCTTCATTTTTTAAAACATGGCAGCATTACTGTGAAAGCCACACTGCCATTAAGCCCCCTCAAACCACCCCCTTCTTTTCAAACATACTTAATCCTATTTTCTGGCTGCTTCCTGAAGGAGTTGTTGGAAGTCTTCTCTTTCTGTCTTTAGTTGTGCTGTTGTGCCAATCTCAGTGTTCTGCATCAATTCAAACTGTCTAACTCTCGCGATCATTTTGATTTGGGGGAGATCTAGAAGTGCCAGATGCAGTGTCCGAGGTGAGTGAGGACACACCATACTGTTTTTAGGAGCTTGCGTGTCCATTGGGTGGCCTGTGGTACCAGTATTCATTGTACTGTCAAAGACACTCATGACAGAGGACCTCCAGAACTGCTTCAGAAAGTAGCCAGAATGATGGAGTAAGTCTGTTCAAATGGACAGGAAGTCTTCTAATGGAGACTCACAGCATTGTGTCTCTTACGGTAATGCATTTTTTAAAAATTTAAACATTCAAGCTGGATGTGGTGAGGTATACCTGTGATCCCAGCACTCAAAAGGCTGAGGGAGGATGACCCCAGCAAAAGTTTGAGGGAAGCCTGGGCCACCTAGTCCAAGTCAGCCTGTGCTACAAAGCTAGGTCTCAAAACAGACTGGTATGCACTCTGTGTGCTTGGGGGTGGTGTGTGTGCTTAGGGGTTTATGCACTCTGTGTGCTGAGGGGTGGAATGAAGACTGTGCTCACACCGCCCACAAGGACTCAGAGTGCATACCACCCTCAGCTCACACAGCGCCCCTGTAGGCACGTGATGTGCATGCCAACCCTAAGCATACATACCATCCCTTAACTCACAGTTCATACCACCCCTCAGCACACAGAGTGCATGGCATCCCTAGACACACACACCACCGCTCAGCATTGAATGCAATCTACCCCTCAGCACACAGAGTTTATACCCTCTACACACACACCACCTGTAAGGATACAGAATGCGTCTCATCCCTCAGCACTCAGAGTGCATACCACTGCCCGGCACACAGAGTGCATAACACCTAATGGTACAGGGAGTGCGGAACCCCAGAGTCACACAGAGTGCTTCCCTGCCCTCAGCACACACGCCACCCCAAGGCACACAATGTGCATTCCACACTTCAGAACATAGATTGCATACCTCCTGTTAGCACACACACCACCAGCAGGCACACAGTGTACCTCCCCTAGGCACAGAGAGTGCATGCCACACAGAGTACATACCAACCTCCAGCATACACACTACCCCTCACTCACTCAGAGTATCACCCCTAGTCACTCAGTGCATGCCACCGCTCTGCACACCCAGCACCCGTAAGCACACAGTGGACCCACAGCAGATACCACCACTAGACACATGTACACTAATGTGTGTGGGGTGGCTCTGGGTGGGATACGAGTGTACAGGAGGCAACTACTTCGCACTCTGGGAGGCTGAGGCAGAAGGATCACAAGTTTGAGGCCACTCTGAGCAGCTTAGCAACTTAGACTCTGTATCAAAATGAAAAATGGAGGACTGGGGATTTAGCTCAGAGTAAAGGCCCTGGATTCAATCATCAGTGCCTCAGAAAGAAAAAGGCAACTAATACTTTTATTCTGATAAAAGAGAGGGGTATTTATGAGGCAGCTAGGAGTCGGCTACATATCTAGCATGAGCCTTCAGAATGACCAATTTACAGAAATGTAATAGGTAATTATTTTTCTTAACACCACGTTCTGCCATTGTATTCTCTATTTTGAGTTTGATATGCTCAAAAATATAATAGTTTGCTGCTTGCTAACAATGGGCTTCTTTCAGGTGCATCCTCCACAGGAGGCACTACCTTAGGCACTCACCTGTCCAGACCTCATGAGGTGGCCTTCTATCCCCAGAGCTACCGCTGCGTGCACCAGGATGACTGGTGTAGCTGATCAGTGTTGGGGCCCAGTGTGCCACATGATTCATTCTGGGTGGCCCCTTCCCTTGGCCCATGCCTGCACAGGCTACCTGGTTACCCTGACAGGCAGTCACAGACTGCAATGAGCCAGGAATCTGCTCCTTTCTGAGACTGTCAGAACAGGAGCTCAGTGTCACTAGGAAGAGGCAGGGGCTTGGCGGGGGCAACTGTCTCGCCCAGATGGGGGAATCGAGGCAGGTGAGGACATAGTGATCTGGCTCCTTTCTGGAGTGGGTCTCAGAGCTCACTGTGTGAGGGGCCCTGGATGGCAAGAGGAAATGAATGACCTGTGCTGGGATTATAGGTGTGCGCTTCACACCTAACTAAGCAGTGGTTTTTGTTTTGTTTTGTTTTTGTTGCTTTTTTTGAGGCAGGGTCTCACTATGTAGTGCAGGCTAGCACTGAACTCGCTTATGTAGTCCAGGCTGGTCTTGAACTCAAGGCTGTTTTCCTATCTCAGCCTCTGGAGTGCTGAGGTACTATGGGCATGCACCACCATGCCCAACAAAGTAGGGGTTTTTAAAATGCCACAATCCAGCATTTCCCTAAATCAAAGGGAAGGTGCAGTGAGTGGCCACCTGTGCCCTACAAGGGCTGCCTGCCCTCCTCCCCCACAGTTGGGACTGCTACCAACTTTTTCATCTCAGGAAGCGTATAGGGTTGGATGTGTATGGAGAGGCCCTCTGGTGGGCCCAGGTTTGCTCTAGCCATGGGAAGCTGGGAGAGGCCCAGAAGGGTTCTTCAGAGAGCCAGCCCACACCTTGATTTGGGACTTCTGCCTTCCATAACTGAGAACAAATATGTGTTATTTTAAGCCACAAGTTTGTGGTAATTTGTTGGTAGCCTTGGGAAACCAATACAGGTGTAGACAGACAGACTGGCATTGGTCAAACAAGCAAACAGCTGTGAACCTGCTGTGTGACAAGAGAGGTTTAGGGCACTGTGATGGGGAAGGGTTCCCTGAGATTGAGGTCAGAGAAGGTGCTGACTAAGGGAGTGGAGGGAGGCGTTTCAGCCCAAAGTGATAGCATGAGCAAAGGTCCTGAGATGAGTAGTTCACTCTCTAAAAGTACTCTCCAATGAGTAGTCTTGGCCACAGAGTTCTTTTCAGAACCAAGAAACCTGACAGGTGGCCCTGCTCATGACAGTGGCCTCGATTTGGTGCCTGTGGTTTCCACTCCACCCGTTTCACATATTTATGTTACCAGCCTGGCCCCTGAAGGGAATTCACTCGCCAGGCCCTGACCTGTGGATCGAGTGCTCATAGCAGCCGCCGACAGCATCCTCACCCCCCACCCAGTCTGGTGGAGCTGGTGCCTGGTTGCTCTGGTGGGCTATGGCCGGTGTTTGCCATCCCCAACCAACAAAGGTGCTGAGAATTTACTGCAGCCTGTTATCGCCTTGGAAGAGCTCCATGAGGCTTGGTTGCAGAGCTGGCCAACTTGCAAGACCCCCGACAGGATGGCAGCAGCCAGGAAGGAAGATAGCTCTGGAGGTTGGTCTTGGGGCAGGGCCGTCTTCTGGGGAGGGGCTCAGGAGAACCAGAGTTTTTCTTCAAGAGGCCAAGTTGTACAGAAACAAGCCTCTGTGCTTGTTTTTCCATCAATAAATGCAGAGAAATCACTCTCATCAGCTCCCCCTCTGAAAAACTGAGTCCATAACTATGCTTCCTCAGTGAGAACTGCAGTTGTGAGAATTACAGATTGTTTGCTTTCATTCAGCAATCATATTTTTGAGCAACTAGTAGGTTCTAGATCCCATTCTAGATGCAAGAGGACACTAGAAGGAGCACAGCCAGACAAATTTATATGCACTTGTGGAATTGATGTTCTAGAATGGGGCTCTGCAGACTGGGGCTCACCTGCCAGATCTGGTTTACTGCCTGGTTTTGCACAGACCGTGAAATGATCTCTCTCTCTCTCTGTCTTTCAGTGCAGAGCCACATGAATGGCAGGTAAGTATTCTACCACTGATCTGCACTTCCAGTTCCGGATCTGTATTTTTAAATAGATGAAAGAAGTCCAAGTAGCCCAAAGAATAACAGAATTTCATGACACATGCAAACTACACGAGACACAAATTTCAGTGTTCTGAATAAGCATTTATGTAAGAGCCACGCCTACTGGTTCATGTATTATCTGTGATTACTTTTGCAATATATTGGCAGAGTTGCTGGTGACTCTTTATAAGGCCTGAAAAGCTGATAAAGTTTGTATTCAGCCTCTTTGCAGAAAAAGTTTTTCCATCCTGATTGTAGTGTCATGGGGTTCCAAATGTGGTTTCTGTCGGTGTCACCTGGATGTGTGTTTCTAATACACATCCTGACATTCAAGCCCAAACTCACACTATAAGAAGCCACCTAGGTGATTCCTGTGCATGTGAGTTCCAGCGAGAAATGTGCTGCCATCAAGTGCTGTGTGCAGCTCGCTCAGCACATGCTTGGCACTTAGTAAGAGCTCAGTGACTATTAGCTATCAGGGCGAGTGGTATAAAGGCCCAGGAAAGCAGCCCGGGTCCTAATCCCCAGAACCTGCACATTCCTTTATGTGGAAAAGGGGCTTTGCAGGTGTGATTGCATTAATGACCTGGAGGCCAAGGGTGTCACTCAGGTGGGCCCATTGATGTGATCACAGGGATTCTTACACCAGGAGGCACAGGGAAGAAGATGTGGAAGTGGAAGCACAGACTGGGGCTTCATGCCCTGCACACGAGGAGCAGCTACCACACGAGCAATGCTGTGTGGCAGCCTCCAGAGTTAGGAAAAGACCAGGGAACCATGGCTCCCTTGGAGCCTCCAGGAGGAATGTAGCCCTGGACACCTTGACTGTCAGTTTTTGACCTCAGAACTGTGAGTATTTTTATGTTATTTTAAATCACTAAGTTTTTGGTAACTTGGTACAGTGGCACTAGGAAACCAGTCCTGCATTATTGGTGTGAGTATAGTAGGTATCTGTTGCATGGTGGCTCTGCTATCTGCTTATTAATTTGTTTCAGGCGAGTCACTGATTCTCTCTGAACTTTAGCCTTTTGCTCTGTAAGATGGAGAAAATCGCTTTGCCTTCCTCGGGGCATCGTGAATCTTAACTGACCATCCTGTGTATAAAGTGGCTTCCTGAAATGTCAGCTACCCTAACTGTTGTTGACGTTGATTTAGCAGCGGTAGCAGCCAACAACAGGCTCACTGTGTCCTAGCTTATGGAACATCCCCGAATTTGAACCTCTCTCCTACAAAGTGGGGATCGTGTTGGTGGCTACCTCCCAAAGCAGCTGAAATGTGACTCTGGGCCAGGCTGTGCTTAAGGAGAATGCAAATACGGTTGCCAGCCATTTGGAGAATGCAGCAATCAAGTCTCGAAAGGGCGTTTGGGCTCCCCCAAGAGACTCTGATTCAAGCCCTCCATGTCAGTTCTCAGCCTCAGCCTGGCTGGTCAGGGTGGAGATAATTCCTCTCCCTCTGTGCCCTTCCTCTTCCCCAGAGTGGAACACCTGGACCCCCCTGCCTCTGGTGGAGCCTGCTGCAGATCCTGTCAGAGCTTCTGCCTTCGGAGGTCCAGGAGTATGTCTCCCTGGGGAGAGGAAGGAACAGCTGGACTGGTCCAGGTCTGGGTGACCCAGGGACCATTTGGATTGAGGCTCTACCTCCTCTGGGCCCAGGGCAGAGTCAGCACCCTCAGGTGAGGCCTGGGACTCCACAGTCCAGGTTGAGCTTTGCTGGCTTTGCTGCAGTAGCACCTGGGCTGGGGAGTGGGATGGAAGGGCAGCTTGAATGGTGGGGTCCTCCAGGACCAGTACTGCGGGACCCAATATGTGGAAAATATGTGCTGGACTCAAGCATGAATAAACAATCACACCCATGGAAGGCACCCTACATAATTAAGGAGGAGCTGTTAGTGGAGCCTCTTCTGTGCTCCAGGAAGTGGCCTTTGAACTCTGAAGAAAAGAGGTGGCATTTCCTGAATGCCAGGTATGATGTTAGAGCTGAACTGTGCTCACTTGAGCCTCTCATTTAGCCAGGCTTGGAGAGGTTAAATAGCACACAAGAACTGGGCCTGCAGCTCAGCAGTACAGCATTTGCCTCGCATGAAGGAAGCCCTGGGTTCCATCCCCAGCACCTCAAGAAAAAAAATTAGTAAAGGCCAATGTCCAGGGTTGCTTACCAGGAAGCAAGTTTAGCGTGGGAGGGTGGATGCATGCCTTGGCATGCTTTAAGGAAGGGGGCTGTGTAAAGCTTTTGCTTTTCCTTGTTGGTTTTGCTTTTTCCCCAGCATGACTGAGCAGGAAGTGTTGCTCTAGTGGAATTTGAGAAGTTCATGGAAGACAGTATGTGAGTTGAGAAAATCCAGGAATCAAAATGACCTTGAACTTACCAGGCAGATACTCATATCCTACCAAGTGGCCAACTGCTAGGTTGATGAAAAGCCCTGGCTCACCCAGGACTGTTTGTTTTAACACTGGAATTCCCATGCCCCAGGAAACACCTTAGTCCTGAGCAAGTGGGGACGGTTGGCCACCTGCCCCAGCCACTTTGCGGCCCCTGCACTTAGACCATGGTTGAGGGAGGGATGGTGGCAGGATTCACACACACGTTTTGTAAAAGGAGGGCGAGGTTTCCAGAGGTGTCTGCCCACACTGGAATCTTGGGTGGAGAAGTTTCCACCAGGGCCCACTCATCCCAGCCATCTGCCTGCTACCGGCTACTGCCCAGTTCTTGGAGGTGTCAGGAAGCAGGCGGCCCAGATTCTTGTCACCTGCCTCCCTCCCCTCCCCCTCCTGCCACACACATGCCTTTCTCTGGGACCCCTCCCACCAGCAAAGCTGACATCATCTTGGGGAGATGGGTGCTCAGATGTGTGTGAGGTAGGACCCAGGCTGTCAGGAGAGCTGGAGTGGGTCAGGCTCCTGCTGGAGGGGTCTTCTCACCTCTGTCATCTCTGGTGGGGAAGGGTGAGTGCCAGAGGCGTCCTCTGACTGTCCATCTGTCTCTTTGTCCAAAAAGCATCATTCGTCCCTGAGCGGCTCTCCTGAAAATAAGAGAATGAACATGTAACATCTGCGTGAACTTGGGCCGGGGATTTAGCTCAGAGGCATAAGTGCCTGCCTTGCAATCGTGCAGTCGTGAGTTTGATTCCCAGTTCCACCACCACCACCAACAAAAGCATCTGAGTGAACTGCTTGTCCCCAAGGGCAGGCTTGGATAGGCAGGTAGTGAACAGCCTCAGACACTGAGCTGGCTGCTAGGGATTTGGGGAACCGGCACCCCTGGGACTGGGTAGAGTGGCAGTTCATAGACCTGCTCTGGGGTGTGGACAGCTGTAGGACAAGGGTCAGATCTTACTCCTCCCCACCCTGTCTTTCCCACTTGTCACATCCCGTGACATATTTAGGCTCAGCAGACCCTTCTTGGATGTGTAGATCCGTTCTCTCTGCATCTCATTTCCTCAGCTACAGGATAAATGTGCCCACCAGCCCGGCCCATTGTCAGTCTGCGGCCTCTGGGCGCCTAGAGTGGCTTGAAGCCCTCATCACCCCCAGGGCTTCCCATCCCCGGCTCCCTGTTGGCTTAGACCTCAGCAGTGAGGGTCTCTGATCCTGAGACACCTCAATCCAGTTCTTCTGCCCCTGTCACCATTCACACTTGATACTTCTGCTCAGACTGACTCCAAGTCCTTCCCTAGTCCCCCTCCCCAGGAATGGACACCCACCTGGTCACTCTGTCCAAGCACCTTGTTCTGTCCTTTTCTTTTTCATCTGGCATTGGGGATTGAACCCAGGTCCTTTTGCATTGAGCTGCACCCTCTACCCTTTTCATTTTTTTGAGATTGGATCTCACTAAGTTGATAAATTGCCCAGGCTGGGTTCAAACTTGCAGTTCCCCGCCTCAGGCTCCTAGAGTGCCAGGACTACAGCCATACACTGGAATACCCAGCATGCACCCTGGTTTTCCCCTCATAGGATTATTACCTTATCTATTGCCTGCTTTTTCATTTTCTTTGGGGCTGGGCTACATCTGACTTCTTCCCACTGTAACCCCATCTGGCACAGAGTGGTTATCCATAAATTCCTATTGAATGAATACATGACCAAGGAGGGCATTACTGGCCCTGCCTTCCCTCCCAAACCCTGCATGTCATGTCTCTACTTTTCTGATGTACTGAGGGCTTCTGAGATGCCAGACTTGGTGCTAAGCCTTCCATGGTGCTGTATGTCACTGATGTGGCCACTGAGGTACAGAGAGGTGAGGCAAAGACCTCAGGGCACACAGCACCCAGTGGAGAGCCAGGAGTCCACCGAAGTTGCTCCAGCTAGAAGCTCAGGGCCCCTGGCCCCTGTCCTCTCAGAAGCAGAACTTAGAGAATTCTGAGGGACCCGATGCCCCAGCTGGACAGAGGCCCGGCTCAGACCAACCTGTGTTGCAGGCCCAGGGTGTGTTTCCCTGTTGCTTGCTCAGCCTGGGCTGTGGTTTCCGCTTGTTTTCTGTAACCTGAGCTTCCCTAGCGCCTGGCACCAGGATCCGTGACTTGGTGGCCTCAGCTCAGGTTCCTGATTTCCTTGGATGATTTTAGATGCTTTTACTGGTAGAAAAATCCCAGCCAAGAGACGGTGAGTAGAACACGCCCCTTCCTTATAAGCTGGTAGCAAAAGGGCACTAATTATTAGCAGTGCCCTCAGGGATGCCCCAGTTATGAGGGAAGGGTCTGCTGTTGTTCATTTCACCCCGGCAACCACCCTGCAGGGTGACACCTGCCATCCCCACCGCATGGTGGAGAAACCTAAGGCGCAGAGAAGTTGAGCGATTTGCCCAGGATCACACAGCCGGGGGAGTAACAACAGAATCTGCACCTGCATCTGCTCCTCCTCCCGGATTCCTTCCTGGCTCTAGACTGCAGACAGGACCCAGGGCCCAGAGTAGGAGAAACTCCGTCCTTGCCCACAGGGAGCTCCAAACTGCCAGAAAGAGCCAAGAAAGAGTGCCGATGACCATCAAAGCCAGCCCACCAGCCTGAGACCATCTGTATTTTTAGCTGGAAAGTGAATCAGCCTGATGATTCACAGGCCTGGCCAGGCTTGCTGGGCAGCCCCAGGCCAAGAATGACAGGGCAGGGGTCAGCTAAATGGGGACAGGAAGACTCAGAGGGGATCAAGGGCTGCCCAGGCAGGCTACTGGGTCCTGTTGTCCTGTGCAGGATATGAACTGGACTGCGTACTTTCTCACTTGCTCAGGAGATGGGGTTTGAATGACTGCTGGCAGACAGCTTGTGTCAACAGAATTAGAAAGTGATATAAGCAACTCTGCCCCACAGACAGCTGATCTGGGCTGGGCACCCTGCTAGGTACTGGAGGCACCGAAGCAGAGAATTGATCTTCTAAGACAGGCATTGCCATGCCTTTCTCCAGGAAGGTGGTAAGGTTTTGATTTTTGTTTTGTTTTTAACAGTCCTGGGGATTGAATCCCACAGCCTTTTCTCTGAGCTACATCCCAGCCCTTTTATTTTTAAGACAGGGTCTCAAACTTAAGATCCTCCTGCCTCAGCCTTGGAGTAGCTGGGATTATAGTAAATATTTCATGTTTTGTGGTCTATAGACTCTCCACTGGAGAAAAGCAGCCATGCTGGACTGTGTTCTTATAAAAACTTTATTTACAAACCAGATTTGGCCTGGGAGTTTTAACTTTCTGCCCCAGTTCTAAAAAATGCCTTTGCCCACACCATGGTCCCTCGTTCACTGTAGGGCGTGAGGGATGCAGATGACAGGTGGTGGGCTGAAGCTGTCAGTAGAAGATGCTCTAATGCACTAGTGTTAATACACAGGGTTCAAGTCGCCTCTCAAGTGCTCCTTCCACATGGGTGCTCATGGGCACATTGGACTGGGACCTCGTAGGGCAGTGACATCCAGCCTAGTGCCTGGGTGCCATAGGAGATGCAGTGGGAACTCGCCAGGCCGAGGGAACTCACCAGGTCGTACCCACCCCTATGTCTCTCTCTTCACCTTAGTTAGAAACTGGCACACCGGGAGGCCACCATAGGAGGAACTGCAAGTGGAAACCTACCCTGGGCAACTTAGCAATTTAGCAACACCCTGTCTCAAATGAAAAATTAATAGAGCAGGGATGTAGTTCAGTGCAGAGGCCCTGGGTTCAATCCACAGTACTAAAAAAAAAAAAAAAAAAACCAGTGTGTGTGTGGGGTGGGTTAGAGGGAACCTTATGACAGACTAGGACCCACTCTGGTCTCCCTGTTTATCGTCCAGGAAGCGAGGTACCCCTTCGTGTCCTCCTGAGCCCCGGTTCCCATGAGAGTCTCAGAGAGGCCGAGGGCTATGGGAAGGGCTCCATGGGGTCCCAGCTGGCTGTGAGCACCCAGCGCTGAGCCCCAGCTTCCTCCCCCGTAGAACAGGTGGGGATGGGCACACAGCTCTCCCGGAGGTTACAGGGCAGCTCCAGGGAGCATCTGTGCAGGCTCAACCTCTAAAATGCAGGAAGCACTGCCTCAGCCTCTGGGAGCGGAGCGAGGAGTGACCGTCACCTTTACAAGTGAGTTAACAGGGATCATCCTAAGACTGACTTGCTTGAGGTCACAGCCAGCGTAAGCAGTGAGGTTCACACCACTGCGTCTCCGCTGATCTTGGGCACCCTCTGAACTAGCGCCTTGGCGGCTGCCCAGCCTCAGACTTCCTTCCGGCCGGGTTCTCCAGCAGACAGACAGGCTTCTCATCCTCACACTCCAACAGCCAGAAGCAAGGCTGAGGAAACTGGGGGGGTCGAGGCAGGTTGCTTGGTAAAGCCATCACATAGCAATGCTACCACCAAATGTTCCCCAAGCCTAGTGTCTGGGGGATGGTAGAATTGTTCCCCACAGACCTGGGTTCAAATCCAGTGTTGAAGATCAACTGACTGTGACCTCAGACAGGAAATCTGTCTTCTCATCCACATAATAGGAATAGGAAATGACTCACACATATACAGAGAGTTGATTCATGTTGACTATGGCAGCTACATTGTACAAAGCCACCGTGAACACTGATTTAGCAAATTCTCAGCCATCACTCCTGTGAGAAGCACAGCTGGGGTCCAACTTGGCAGAGTTCAGTTCAGGATTCTTCCACTTTATAGGGCTCAGGACCATATGCATCCCGTCAAAGTCATCCTCCAGATTTCACACGTGGATCTTCCCAGTTCAAGGCACAAGGGTACACTCCTCTCTCCATGCAAGCCAAGGCAGCTCAGCTCCCTGCCACCACAGGGTCACAGGGGACAGCTGACACTCTACAACTTGCTTCCACCTCCTGCCCCACCTCCTACCCTCTCCCAGGGCCACCTCCTGTGCTGTAGTCTACCTCAGTGCTTCCCATGCTGTCCTTGGTCCAGCCCTGCCCTTGTGGCCTTGCCCGTTGGTAAGCACTGTCCTCTCCACTCCTGTCCTGTTCTCCCTTTTTTTTTCCTTCATTGTTTATTTCCTTCATCTGTTTATTTGATGATCACCTGGTCCATGCCATGTGTGGTGACCCACACCTCGGGCAGCCTTTGCCTCAATTAAGTGAGGTACAGGTTCCTGCACCCACCATTGTCTCCTCCCCAGTCGGCAGGAAACAACTGTCATTCCTATGAGTCACTGAAGGTGCTGATCTCAGTCCTGGCTGCACGGGAGAGTCACCTGGGAGCTTGAAAACAGGCCCGTGTCCACCTTGGTAGCAGTCCAAGTCAAGCAGAACCTCTGGGAGCCGAACCACACATTGGCTTTTTTTTTTTTTTTTTTTTTTTTTTGGTACTGGGGATTGAAGTCACAACCTTGCACTTGCCAGGCAGGCGCTTATGCTGCTGAGTTAAATCCCCAGCCCTTACATTGGCATTTTTGAAAAGATCCCTCCAGGGGCTGGGACTGTAGCTCAGTGGTACAGCACTTGCCCAAGAGTCAGTGAAGAGGGCTATACCTGCCTGTGAAGGTATAGCCTCCTGTCCCACTGTCCTGCTGTCCCTCAGCATGACAGTTATATCCCCAGACTCGTAAATTTTTTTGAAGCAGAGTCTTGATAGATTGCTAAATTGTCCAGGCTGGGCTGAAACTTGCAAACCTCCTCCTCAGCCTCTCAGAGTGCTGGGATTTCAGGCCTGCGCCACTGTGCTCGGCCCATGAATCCCTTTCTGGGTGGCTATTTCCCCTCCACATCCTCTGGAGTCACACAGACTCATTTCCAACCAGCCTGTAGGGTCCTTTGCTCTGTGGCTTCTGCTAGGCCAGCCCCTTCCCTGCGCAGAGCCTCTGTCCTCTACAAAATGGGGGGATGTCTCCATACAGTTACGGGGATGCCCACCCATTTCCCTTGTGCCCCTTTGTCCTGGCAAACATGAAGGACGTGAGCTCCTAGAAGGATGGAGGTGAGGTCCAGGGTGTCTCCCCAGCTGTCTTCTCCCCAAGTTGCATCCCACACCCACGTGCCTTTTACACGAGGGACTGCAGGGACAGCTCTTCTCTCACACTTCAGTTTGCTCGTCTGTAAGAACAGAGTAAGACCCGTGACCAGGGTTTTTCTCCATAGAAATGCAATCATATAGTACATGACCTTTCATATCTGGCTTTTTTCCTATCACATATTTTCAAGCTTCACCCTTGCTACACCGTGAATGAGTGTTTCATTCCTTTGAAGACAGAGTAATATTCCACCGCATGCATAGCCCACCACTGGTTTGCCTGGTTACCCGCAGCTGGTATTTGGGGTGTTTCCACTGGGGGGCGCTATGAATAACGTGGCTACGATGCTGCACACAGGGCTGTAGGTTTTAGTTCTCTTAGTCACATCCCTGGGAGTGCTCGCTGAGTCCCAGGTAACTCTAAGGTTGATTTTTTTTTCTTTTTTTGATCACAGGGATCAAAGCAGGGCTAGAAAGCACCCCACTACTGAGGCACACCCCACCTTTTCTTTAATTATTGAGGGTCTCCCCTATGGCTTATGGCCTTGCTTGAGGGCCTGATTTTAGTTTGCCAGACCATCTTCCCTGCTGGGTTCCCTGGTTTAAAAACCGTAAGTAAATAAAATGAAAGAAGGGAGGCAGGGAAGGAAGAAAGGAAGTACAGGGAAGGGAGGGGAGGGGGAGAGGAAGAAAAAGAAAGATGGAGGGAAGGAAGGGGAAAGGAGGAGGAGAGGAAAGCTGTCAGGCGGCTGTGTTCCCAGTGAGAAAGCTGCTGGCTGTCTAACAGCCCCACAGCAGACCACAGTGCTGCCTGCCGCGGGGAGCTGGGCTTTAGACCAAGCAACCTGACTCCAGGGCCGGTGCCTGTGACCGCAGTCCACACAGCAGGGCCCGTCCTGAGCCGGGCAGCAGGGTGACAGCTGGCCCACTCTGCCTCTGGCTCGAGCGGACGAGAAGTCCTTCCCCACCCGAGGGGCAGAGGCGCAGGAGGGCACAGACTCGCAGGCCCTCCCCACCGTGCCCCTCGCCTCAGCTGGCCCCGACCTGGGTCCCTGCCCCCCAGTCTATCGGGCAGATCAGCCACCACAGCCCGGGAGGCTCTCACGGCCTCAGGGTGAGCTGATTACCCAGAGGGCAGGCAGCACCCCTTCCCTGTGGCCTCCCAGGGGAGGTGTCCTCAGCTGAGAGCCTGGGGGAGAGGACAGCGGCTGCCCTGCCGCAGAGGGAGACAGCTCTGCCAGGGAGCTGCGTGTCAGCCACCTCCCTGGGCCCCACTAGGAGCCTTTTAAAACAGCTTTATGGCATGAAAGGCACTTTGCCTATCATTCAGTGCACTCCTTTAAAGTGCTCAGTCCTAAGGACTTTTGTGAATTTACAGAGCTGTGTAGCCATCACCACTAATTTTAAGAGCACCCCCGCCCATAGAGGTTTCCTCCCAAGGCCCAGTGGATACCTGCAAACCCTCTGAGAGTACTGAACTCGATCTATGTACAGTGGTTTCCTTTGCACACACGTAGGATAAAATTTAACTGTTTGAATTAGGCATAATAAAAAAAAACTAGTGAAAACTAATAGTAATTGGAACACAAAATAATGTACTGTAATAAAAGTTATGTGAATGTGATCTTTTTCTTTCTCTCAAAACCCCTTACTGTTCTTTCATACCTGCTCAGTTAAAGGAAGGGCTTCCCAGCTGGCATTTGAATTGCCAGCACCACTACCATCCTGCATTTCGGGGCCACCTGAACACAAGCCCTGTGACACTGCTGATCTGATACCAAGGCCCCTACCAAGGGACCAACAGACCCGGGCTGTCTCCCTCAGAGCCTCGAAGCCCAACCGCGGCCCTGGGTCTCGTCTAGGGCTTCAGGGTAGCCTTTGCATTTGTGCCTGGCTCCCGGCATCCCTCCTCCACTGCCTGTGCCCTGCCTGGCAGCCAGCATGAAGAGCAGCTGGGACAAAGGTCCCGGTGCTGTGTTCCCCAGTGTGGACGCCAGCAGAAGGGTGCGTGTCTGTCCACCACAGCTGCAGCGCACTCCACTCTTCCTGCTTGGCCTAGGCTCTGTGACTGTGTGACCCGTGCCAGAGGAAATGCCATTGCAAAAGGGGTCTCCTGGTGCCTAAGCAAGAGACCTGACACTACCTCTGGAGCTTGCCACTGGAGACTGAGAATAACTGTAAAGAGCCTTTAGATGACAGAGATGTGGCCTCTTCCCAGAGCGCCTCCCAGTGCAACTCAGTCAGAAGCCTTGGTTCAACTCCCCACCCTGCTTTCTGCTTGCTGGGTGCTGTGGTTATTGGTCTGTGCCTCGGTTTCCCCTTCTGCAAAATGGGCTGTGACCCATCCCGCAGTGTTGGCCCTGGTCAGAGGGAGTGCTGCTGACTGAGAAGCCACTCTGAAGCACCTGCCTTTATCACAGAGTGACTCGAGCAGTACCTGTTAGTTTGGTATCTCTCAACCTCCTGGTGCTAGGGACAACTCCACGCTCAGCTTTGTAACCCCATCCCTGGAACTTCTGCATGCAGTGTCAAAGGAATGTGTGCGATGGCCCCCCTTTCTTTAGGTCTGGAAAGGGGGCATCTTGAGTCTGGGGGCTCAGGAGGGAGACAGGACACTTGTCTTCCTGGTGAAATCCATGATGGCTTACAAGGCAAGGTGGGAGTTTGTTTTGCTTTGTTTTCTTGCATTGTGTTTTTTATTTTGTTTGGCAGAATTGGGGATTGAATCCCAGGCTTTTGCACTGAGCTGCAGCTCCAGCCCTTTTTAAATTTTTGAGACAAGATCTTGCTAAGTCTAAGTTGCCCCAGCTGAGCCTGAACTTGGTACCCACCTGCCTTTGCCTCCCAGAATGCTGAGATTACAGGTGTGCACCACTAGGTCTGGCTGTAAACTGTTATTGTTGTTTGTTTTTCTTTTATAGTTTTTTTATTCACCATAGAAAATGTGGGAGGAAAAAAGTTTAAGCAATCCCTCAGAGTGATCTCACCAGGTAGCGCCAAAGTTTCCATCTTCGGTGAGCACTGCCCATCCCTCTGACGCAGTCTATTGTAAGTGACCGTGGAGACAGCATGTGGGGATGCACCGGCTTCCAGGGAACCGGTGATGAAGTCTGGCAAACACAGCCTCCGTGGAAGCAGCTGGAAGCCACAGTGTCCTCCACCCTGGGCCTCCTGGCCGCCACGGCAGCCAAGCCCAGCTGATGGGCTGGAAAGAATGACTCCCCACTGGCCTGCCTCGGAGGTCAGGGTGACCGTGAGCCAGGCCCCATGCCACGCCACACCCAGCTGGCCAGCAGCTCCTGGGCCTCAGGGGGCCCATTTCTGCAGCTGCCAGTGGGTCAGGGGCCTGGAGCCCTTCTTGCCCAGGCAGTGAACTCTGGGCACTGGCCACCATGGAGCAGACTGCCGGTGAGAGCTAGTGAAGCCTCAGGGCCAGGTCTGCATCAGTCCTTCCCCGCTCCTGTTCACGTGGGCCTCTGCCTTGCTCACACGTGACACGTTCCTTCATCTTCCTGGCAGGACCCTGTGGGACGAGGGACTGGGAGCTGTTTTATATACACCCCACCACGCACACACACCCTGTGCCTCTAAGGCAGCCCAGGGCTCAGGAGGCCTGAGCTGGGAGCCCAGCACTACTTACCACCTCTGCACCACCGCTCTCTGAGGCCTTGTGCAGACAACATGATGGAGGTACACCTGGGCGGGGCCTGCTGTGCTGGTGACTCTGTCTCTCCCAGCTTCCAGCAGCCGTTCATTCGTCCTTCTCAGTGTCCCATGGATCAGGCTTTGGATGGGTGGAGAGAGCCCTGAGCTGTCTGCAGAGGACGAGGGATTGGGGGGAGACAGAAGGGCGTCTCCGCCAGCCTCAGCTCCTTCCCTACACTGGCCTGTACCAATGCAGGATGGTGGGACAGGGTGTCCAGGAGCCCAAGAAATGGGACAGAAAGCTCTGGGTCAAATGAGTCACCCTCCGGAGGGCCCAGATGCCTCTTAGGGAACAAGTCTCCAGGAAGAGCCAGGAGGAGGCAAGGGCAGAGAGCAGAGGCTCCCGGGGACCTGTTCCATGCGGTCGTTGTGGCCCAAAAGGCAGCCTGCTGGGTATGTGGGAGCCTACTGGGCCACCCCTGGGCTCTGCACAGTGTATGGGCCTTCCATCCTGGGAGCATCCTAGACTCCTCCCTCCCTTTTAGGTATGAGGAGTGTGGCCAAGGGGCACAGAAAGATATGCAGCTAAAGGATCTAGCTTTAGAGACATGATAGATTCACCTCCCACCCAGAGGCTTATCCTGCTAGGGAAGAAAGTGCACAGAAGGTTAGAGAGTGTTACACAAGCAAATTCTACAAAGTTCGTCTAGGGAGAGCAGGGAAGGTGTTTCAGGAAGAGGGACAGCCTGTGCAAAGGTCCTGGGGTATGAAAGGGCCCATGATGCAGACCCCACAAATGACTCAAAGTCTATTGAGCTGCTGTTGCTTCCCAGATGCAATGAGGCTGGGGTTAGCCAAGAGTGTGTGGGCTGCCCAACTGTCTGCTGTCCTGGCCTTGTCTTGATTTCTTTAGCGAGTGTCTCCCCGCCTTCCTTATCTCTGAAAGTAAAGAAGAGGAAAAGGCATGGTGTCTTAGGGCCTTCTGTGTTTGGAGTCCAACCCAGAGGGCAGCTCCTCCCTGTCTGGAGTGAAGATCCTATTGCTCAGAAGCTGTCCTCTTCGAACACACCTGTCCACATAGTAAATTCTGTTGATCTGCTGCCTGTGTGTGTACCCCTCAGGGACAAGGACAGAGCCAGAACATTCCAGCAACCCACCTCGGGAGCCAAGCGGGCTGGGTGAAGCTGCTCCCCTGTCCTCCTCCTTCCACCCACCAGTTCCTGAGAGCTGGGGTGGGGGGCGCAGATGGGCACCACGGCCTGTGCCCTGCACCCTGTGGTGCCAAGGGTAATGCCTGAATCCCAGCCCAGTCACGTGACTCTGAGCCTGAGCCCCTCAGCCTCACTGCACCTTGGGCTCCTTTTCTAAGAACGCGGACAGTGCTCTGTCTCCTCCACCTGTTCTGATTGTTAAACAGGGTTCTGTCTACCCAGTGGCTGCAGGGCCCACCCTGAAACTTCTGCCTCTGCAGAGAGCTCACCTGGGGTCCTCCGTGGTGGTACGAAGTCCACCACAGCCAACATGAGCTAATGCTGGGTAAGAATGAGTGTCTCAGCTGGCCTGGGGGCTGGCACAGGACACCCAGAATAAAATCACACAGGCCTGGGCTGCATAGCCAGCAGAGACACGTTTCACGGATTTCCTACTTTTTTTTTTTCCGTGCTTTTGCACTGAGCTACACCCCCAGCCCCTTTTTCGATTTTTATTTTGAGACTGGATCTTGCTAAATCACTAAGCTCCCCTGGCTGGGCTTTAACTTGTGCTCCTCCTGCCTCAACCTCCCCGGGTACTGGGATTACAGGTGTGCACCACCACACCTGGCAAGAGCCTTTCTTTCATGTGTGACTGTTTCTGGATTCTGAATGCCTCCCTAATGGCACTTCCGCTTATTTAATGACACTGAGAACCACAGGGAAGGAGGCAGGGAGCCCACACTTTGTGGAACTCGAGTCTTGTGGGCAGAGCTGGAGGGTAAGAAACACCTTTGGATGATTTTAGAAAGCTGTGGATTCCAGCAGGAAATGAAATAAGGCACATTAGAGCTTGCTTTCCACTGTGCTCTTACGATGTGGATTTCTGCAGGTTCCCCAGAAGTTAATTCTACCTGTTAAGTGGGATGGTGGATTGGGCAGGGAGGCCAGTCTTGAGACAAAGGCCCTAAGCTAGGACACAGCCCTTAATCCAGCTGGATTGGGTTGGACTGACACTGATGAAGCCATTCTATTAAAAGTTTGGTATCTTCTATTGACCCCTGCCAACTTTGAATCGTGGAAGGCCTACAGAGAAAGCAGTCCAGGTAGAAGGAATGGCACATGCAAAGGTCCTGAGGCAAGAAAGGGCTTAGCACATACTAGAACCATGTATAAATATGACAGTTACAGATTGAAGTGAGGTAGATGGTCACTCAACTGAGTTGGCAGGGGCCACCTCACAGTGAGCCTGCTGGGATTTGAAACTTAATCCTTAATCCTGAGAGCTCAGGGATGCTTTTCAATAAAGGAAGGCTCCAGGGAAGGAGTACTGGATAAAGCTGTAAACCACTGACTCTGTCCAGGGAGATTACCAGAGAGCAGAGGACGTGGGTGGGGGATTGGAGAGGTGGCCAGAGGCTGGCTTCCAGGCTCTGTTTCATCCATCTGAAGCAAAGGCAGACAAAGTTCTCATGGTTTATTCAGCAGGGAATTTCTTCTCTCTCTGTGTCTCTCTCTTTTCCCCCTCTCTTTTTTCTTTTTGAATTATAATGTTTAAGAAAAATCAAGATTGGAGGCTGGGGATTTAGCTCAGTGGCATAAGCGCCTGCCTTGCAAGTGTGTGGTCATGAGTTCGATCCCTGGTACTGATAAAAAAAAAATCAAGATTGAAAGCAGGACATGGTGGTACACACCTGTAATTCTAGCTCTCAGGAAGCTGAGGCAGGATCATAAGCTTTAGGCCAGCCTGGGCTATATATTAAGAACTTATCTGAAAAAAACAGAACAAAACATTTTTTGAGGGGATGGAAAACAACAAAAACAAAAACATCTCACTTTCCAACTTGCCTGAAGAACAGACTGTGGAAAATTCTGGCAGCCCTGGACCCTCATCCCCCAGGACAAGTGCCGAGTGGAGCAGTGGCCGCCCTTTCCCTGTGGTCCCCACCACTCCCTACTGTGTCCCACTGGCCCTCTTGAGTTCTTGGGCTCCAGTCTGGTCCCTGCAGTTTGTAGCTTCTGCTGGGAGTAATAAGGAGCCATGTTAGACAGGACAGAAAGTGGTGGCACTAGGATGGACCCTGGGGACTTGAAGGGGACAAACTGGGCTTGTGACATCAGAGCACATCTCTGAGCTGATGAGCCTTGAGCCCAGGCAGAGGGTGCTCACCTGCCTCCAGCCGGCTGGTCTCACGCTGGCTCTGTGTGGCTGTCTCCTTTCTAGGGGCATCCCCCACCCCGCCCCATCACAGCCTCCCCTTCCGATGACCTCTCACCTGCAGGAACCCCGTTGGGTCTGGACTGGGTGGGACCATAATCAGCAGTAACTGAAGGCTCCCACCCCACCCTGGGGCACCCCTTGCTGCGAGCCTTCCTTCCTGGGCCTGTGTGTGGGTGGGCTGCCGGACTCCCCTTAGTCATGACCCCTCCACCAGACTTCTTAGTGACTCAGCACCCTGTGGGGACGCGTCTGCGGAAAGTCAAAGCAACTGGGTTTTATGAGGAGAGGTGTAATTGGAGCAGGCACAGGGAGGAGCTGAGGGGCAGGGAGGCCCCAGCCCAGGTCTGACTGCTCAGCCGCTCCTGCGTCCTTGTCCCGCGGTGTTGAGAACACCAAAGCCCTGCACAATTTCCTGACTTTTTCCACAGTCAAGACATTATTTTCAAATCCTGACGTCGTGCCAAGGAGGGGGTCAGATAAAGGTGAATCACCCGTTCCCCAGCTCTCCTAGCCTGGAAGCCAGCTCCTTCCCCAGCCCCCGGCACAGTGCAGCGGACCCCACCTCTTGGGGACCCTGCCCCTCCAAAGGACCCTCCTGTTTCCAGGCCCCCCAAGCAGTCCTAGCCCCCCTTTTGCCCCACTCTGCAGAATGGCCAGAGGCGGCTGGATTCCCAGAGTCCAAGTGGCGTTTCCCCGGGAACACACACGCGTGCACACTTCGCGGCCAGGAGAATTCCTGGACTTGGAGCAGCTTGTGAGTCAGCTGGGTGCTCGCTGGGTCTGGCGGATGTGAGTTTGCTCATGTTCGTCAGCTTTGAAAGTTTCGCATCTTTATCCAGAGAAAATTTCAAAAATGCACCGGAGAGAAGATTGGCTGGTGCCTCCCGCACCCCAGCGCTCCGCTGGGTGGCAGTGGCCTTTGGTCACCTCGCTGGCCTTTTCCCGTCCGGGTGGCGGATTCCAGCGCAGATCCACTTCATACCTAGATCATTTCCTAACAGTTAGAGCTCTAAAATCATTGTGACAAGGAGAGCGGTTCTGTGTACCTTCCGCTAAACGCCATCTCTGTCACATCTTCCATCTCTGTGATGTCAAACGCCGCTGACTGCAGCATCAGAACCGGGAGCAGAGCTCGACAGCGCATGCGTGCAGCATCCTGCATCATTCTATCACATGTAACCAGCACAGTGAAGACCAGAACTGCCTGCTCTCCCAAAGACCCCCCCCCTGCAATCACATCTCTCTGCCCCCCCCAACATCCCCAACCCCCTTGCAGACCCCTCTGCTGGTCCTCATTTCTGTAATGTCATTTGAGATTAGAGGAATGGAGTCGCTCAGAGGTGCTTATTATGGACAGACCGTGCTTTGCAGTACCGTTCATGGAGGGGCGTTGAGACTATTTCCAGTTTGGGCTGCTAAGAATAAACCTGCCACTGACTTCTACATGGACTTCAAATCTCATTTCTCTGGGACACACACCCAGGAGTGTGATGATATCTATGTCTGAGTTCATGTCGAGGTCTTAAACACCAAGCTCTTGCCACGGTGACCATACAAGAGCATCACTGTCCAGAGCATCTATTCCCTGGAGCCCAAGGAGCCTGGAGATCCTGAACAGCCTGTGCCTGCCTTCTGTCTATTAAATACTTTCTGTGTCCCAGGCACTGTGTTAGGCTCTTTTCACTCATGGGATGTTCAGTCTATACAAAAGACAGCATTAAGGCTCAGAGAGCTGGGTGACCTGACCCAGGCCCCAGCTTGCAAACCAGAGAGTCAGGAGTGGAACCTGCCTTGTCTGGTTCCTAAGCCTGTGGGCTTGATGCCCCACCTTATAGGGTGGCAGGAATCAGTGCTGAATGTTTGTGGGGGCAGTGTGCAGACCAGGGGTGTCAGGGAGGGAGAGCCCAGCAGGAGAGCACAGAGCTCTGACCCTTCCTTTCTTCATCACAAGTGGGGCTGCTGCTCTGTTCCAGCTGTCTGGGTCCCCTGGCCTAGATGAGTGCGCCCTTCCTTCCTGGCCCCTCCATCTGGTAGGGGGAGCCCATCTAGCCCCATGTGCACTCCTGAGCCTCTGCTCTCTGGGCCTTACACCATAAGGTGTAAGGATAGGATCAGTGTGAGGACAGTGACACCCACCATGGCCAAGTGCTCTGGCTGGCACCTGAGCATCGATCCTAGGTGCTTGGCATGACGCCCTGCACAGGAATTACCACCACGGCTTTGCAGGGACATCGTTGAGGTTCAGTGGGCAAAACTCACCCAGGTCATGGAAATGGAATTCGAACTTGTCCACCTGACACCAACACTCAAGGGTCTTCAGCTAAACCAGTCAGGGGTCTGGTTTAGTCAGGGCCAACCCTTCTGAACCCTTCATGCCCTGCCAGGGCAGGCTGGTGCTCCACAAGATCTAGGGTCAGACATAGTTCTCGTAAGTGTCCTCGGGGTTCCAGATGGCCTCCTGCTGGGGGTCTCTGGAGGCGTCAGTGTAAGCCCCTTGGCTCTGCTTTACTCACTGCTCTGAGGTGAAGTCTCCACCAGCCTGAGATCCCAGGCCTGTCCTCCTTCCTACCTCCTAGCTGTGTGAGACCAGGCGCTCTAAGCCTCCCAATCTTTTCTCCTAGAAAGGCCTAGTCATTGACTATTATTAGCCTGAAGATTTCCCTGAGGGCAGACAGAGGGTGTGGCATGGATGGCCCCATCCTAGCCCTGGCCTTGGTTCTACGCACACTGGGACCCTGGCCTGGGGCCTCCGTTTTCAATCAGCTAAGATGATAGGAATTGCCACGTTGACTCAGGGGTTCTGCTTTGTAAACTGTGAGACATTATACAAGCGAGGATTTCCCTCCCAAGCCACAAACCTGAGCTCCGTATTAATTTCTCAGCCTACTTCTCTTTTGTGGCTCCCTTTTTTTGTCTGGTAAATTTGGTTTTGAAGGTAACTGGGGATTGAACCCTGTGCCTTTGCATTGAACTAGATCCTCAGCCCTGTTCTATTTTTTATTTTAAGCTGGAATCTCACTAAATTGCATAAACTAGACTTAACCTTGCAGTCCCACTACCTCACTTCCCAAAGTGCTGGGACTACAGACATGCATCACACACTTAGCACCAGTTTTGCTTTTTAAAGTTCAGTTTTTCATCTGTATATCTGATGCAATCACAGGCCCTGTTTGGTGAGCTGGTGAGGCCAAGACTCCCTCCTCTGTGTACTTGATGTAGTTTGACAGCATTTCCTGAGTGTTTGTTGTGTGCCAGACCCACTGCTGGGACAGAGAGGGGAGCCAGGCACAGCTCAACATGCCTGCAGGCCTCTGGACAGACAGCATCAGTGCAGGGTGGTCTACACAGCAGTGAAGCTGCGTTCATTACAGGAGGGACTCCAGCGCAGCCAGGCAAGTAAGAAGAGGGCCAAAGGGGTGGGACGGTACTGCCTCAAGCTAAAGAGCTCCAGTGAGCTATAAAAGACTGAGTGGAAGTCAGGGAGGCAGAGGAGTGGGGGAGAATGTTCCAGGCAGAAGGAACGGCCTTGCAAAGGCCTCGAGGTGAGAGGGGACAGTCCTCACCTTGCTCAGTCACCCCGTGGTCTCTTGAACAGATGCTGAGTCTTGCCTTGAGACTAGATGATGTTAGCACGCCCAGTTTGCTCTTGGGATTATACACTGTCCTTCCCTATCTTTTTTTTTGTCTTTTTCATTTTTATCGGTACTGGGGATTGAACTCACGACTGCCTGCTTGCAAGGCAGGTGCTTGTGCCGCTGAGCTAAATCCCCAGCCCCTATCTTTAAGGGCTTTCCAAACTATCTACCCTTCAGTCTACTCACCTGTGAACATATCACCTCTTCATCCAGCTCTCCATTCCTTTATCCATGCATATGTATCAATCCACCCACCTATCCGTGCAGTCCTCAGTCTGTATTCACGTACCCATCCATCCATCCAAATATATACATATTCACTCACTCACGCATGTATTTATTCATTCATCTATGCACCCAGCTATTTCCCTCCATCCACCCATGCATCCATCCATGCAATGCAATCAACAAACATGCAAGTGCTGATCACGTCCAGACCCTGTTGGGTTGGGCCTTCCCTGAGGAGACACAGGAAAGTGGTGAGCAGTTGTGGGCTGTGCTCTCGCCAAGACGGGCACAGACTTGCTCCTGGATTTCCTCCCCACCTTGGGCTGCCTGGTCTTGTTAGGAGGGAGGGAAGTGGCCCCCGCCTCTCTTCTTGGCTTCAAAACTGGCCCTGATATTTTGTTTTTGAGAGCGTCACTCCCCAGACATCAGATGCAAAATCAACGCAGACTGCAGACAGCCTTCCTCTCTCCTGCCTGGCTGTGCTGGGAACACCACTCCTTGCTGCCTTTTAGGGATGGACAGGACCCTGGGCTGCTTAGGGCCTGCCCATGATCTGTTCAGCTTTCCCATCCCACACCCCACAGGTGGGTTTCAGACAAATGCCAATGCTGGTACCACCCACTGAGTGGCCCTTTCCCAGCTGGCCCAAGTCTTGCAGTGACCTTCTTATCTGTGACTAGAGTATGCTTCTTAGAAAAACCAAAACCATCACTGACCTCCCTCTGGATCCCTTTCTGGTGTCCACAAACCCGGAGGTCCCTGACCTTGGCTCCTATCTGTTCACTAAGAGATGGGAAGACACCAACTTGCTCAGCCTCGTGGGGGTGCGGGATAGGAGCAAAGATGCACGTGGGGCTGGGTGGGATTCACCTTTGCAGGGATGAAGGAACCCAAGAAAGTAGGGCCATCTACTAAGGGGACCCAGCAGTTGGCAGCAAAGTCACAGACCGACCCTTGGTGGAGAGAGGAGGGAGCTGGTCTGCCCGGCCAGGAGAAGGGAGAGGCCATTACCCTCCCCCTCTGCCTTCCCCCATTGCCAAGGTCTCCCCAACACCTGTGGTCTGCTCCCTGACCACTCACCCCCAAAACCGTAGTGTAGTGGAGACATCATCTGTTGCCTGACGTGTTTGCAGTGATTATCAGGCGGTAGGAGGTGACATTCCTGCATCAGCCCAGGAGCTGGTGCATGTGTCTGGGTGACAGATGAACCTGCATGACTTTGCTAACCAGAAAAGACATTAAACTGCAGACACCATCTGTATTCATTTCCTAGGGATGCTGTAACCAGCGACACCTGGCGACCTAGAGCAGCAGAAACTGCTTCTTTCATAGCTCTGGAGGCCAAAATCAAAACACCAGCAGGGCCACCAGGTACCCACACAGGTGCCTGGGATTCAGGTGTCACTATGTCTTTTTAAGGGACACAATTCAACTCTCGCTACCATACGATTCTGATGCTGTTTTTAAAGCACACACACAGCAGTATTTGTTTCCTAATCTGGATGCTCCTCACAGGATACTTTGCCGTGCAAATTTATCAAGCTATACATTTATGATCCACTCACTTCTCTGTGCATCTGCTGTATTCCAATTAGCATGTTATACAACACAGAGACACACACTTCAGCCCGGCAGCATCCCTGCACTGTTCTCGGAGACCTGGCCTGGTGGTGAGTTTACGGATTAATTTCATTCTCTTCTCCAGATGTTCCATGTCTTCTGCAATCACCAGAATTCACTCCATCAAATAAGACATGCATGAAAACCAGGAACTAGGATAGAGTCTTAGGGATCCTTCCCCATCCCCAAAGCTCTGTTAGGAGGTGGGGATCCGAATGGGCACTCGGCTGTCCCTAGAATGCCTTCCAAGTCAGTATTTTTAGCACCATTACTTACCCCTTCGGTGTCCTAATGATTTGTGGCTCAGATGATCCCAGCTGACTTTCTGCAGAGCCCGCTCAGACAGTTACTTCACCTGCGTCCTCTTCTGGAGGGCGAGGGTAATAATAGAAGTGATCTCATGTGTGGCTGGGAGGCTTCACTAGGAAAATGCACGTGAAACCCATGCACAGGGCTGTGGCCCAAGGGACAGGCTGCCACAGATACCCTCCTGCTGAGAAAAGGCCTGAGCATGAGGCTGAGGCAGGCGTCTCCGTGTCCCAGGCTAATGGCTCAGCTTGCGGGGGAAGAGAGCAGTGAAGGATGCCCCCTTCCCCACTCCCTATGGCCATCCCTGGGACTATCGGTGCCCTGGGCCTCCGGACTGCCTGCTTTCCCGTTGTGTCCCCTTCAAACAAGCCTTGGTATGCTTTCCCTGCTGTTCCTTCTGCTGCATACTATTTTGCCTTGTGTGCAGTTTAGGATCACAGAAGAGCTTCAAGGAAGCAGGAGGAGGCAGCTAGAGCGAGCGAGGAGGCCGGCCAGGGGCGGTGGTGAGAGCCTGTTACCCCAGCACTTAGGAAGGCTGAAGCAGGAGGATAGCAAGTTGGAGCCTAGCCTGCATAACATACTGTCTCAAAATCATTAATACAAGAGGCTGGGGGTACAGCTCAGGGCTAGCGCCCTGAGTTCAAAGCCCAGTATGGGGCAGAGAGGGAGAAGGGAGGCGCCTTTTTACCTACAGCAACTGAGAATCCAGTCCCCTCCCCTGGAGCCCCACCCCTCAGACACCCTGCTTTGCAGGCAAAGCTGTGGCCAGGTCTCTGCTCCACCCACTGAGCCCCAGGCCTTTGGGATCTGGGTTGTGCTGTGTTGGAACTTGGTCCTTTTCGGCAATATCAGCACAAATGACAAATGCCGAAACTCTGTCCCAGCTGGTCTGCTGCCCAGCTGTAATCTCATGGATAAACTGGAGCTCAGGAAATCTTATTTATGTGCAAGGTTATTCTTTGCAACATTGTAAAGCAAAAGACTGAAGAGAGCTTTCCCTCCCTCACCGGTAGGATGCTCGCTAAATAAACCTCAGACTCTATGTACTGTGCGGGAATTCTGTGCCATAAGGCTGTGGAAAACAGGGAGACAAATCTCTAAGCAATTTTAAGTGAGAAAAAGATGGTCCAAAACAAGACACAGTATATGCCTCTTTTCATTAAAAGGGGGAGGATGTGAGAATATTCATTTGTATTAATTTGGATTTGCGTGAGGAACTGGCTGCCCATCCAATGACTGCATTTACTCTAGAGTTGAAACTTAGCGGCCTGGAGTGGGCCTGGCAGAGGACACAGACTTAGTCATTCCCTTTAGAGGGAAAATACAAACTTGTGCTTTCTGAAATTTCAAATTTAAAAACTTCAACGTGTTTCATACGAAAGCACGTTTTAAATGTGGCACCTCAGGTCTGAGCCCCACGCTGGACCTGGCCTCATCTCCTCATAGCTGTGTGACTGGGGTAAATTACTCAATCTCTCGGGTTCAGTCTCGCCCTCAAGGGAACAGAGGTAACAACAGTTCCAACCTTGGGCTGCTCAGATGATTGGATGAGATAACCTGTCCCAGTGGCTGGCATGTGTGACGTGCTGTGGGGGCAATAGGGTTCCTGAAATGTCTCACTTGGAAACAGCCCTCTGGTGCAGGATTTGAACCCCAAGCTGCAGGAGCCCTCACCTCTAGGGGGCTGTGTCTCCTAGGAATGCTGACTGTTCAGTGGAGTGAGGTTCTTCTCCCCCTGTCAGGCCCACAGTGTGGGGAGGCTTGACAGTCTTGGGTCCTGAGCGTCCTTCCCTGGGAACTAGGGCCGAGGAGGTTGAGTTAAAGCCTGCCCCCATCAGGTCACTGTGTGCATCATGAGTAAGGACACAGAATGGCAGGTCCCTCTTAGAACCACTTCCACCTCCTGTTCCTGGAGACCCCTGGCTTTGCACCCAGCCCTTGACCACACTCACGACACCTGCCTAAGGCCAACATTCAGGTGATTACCATGTGAAACCACCACACTTGCTCCACGAAGCCTTTTCTAGAAACTTCTACCTACCAGGCCACAGGGACTAGCTTCACCCACCAACCAGCCTCTGTGTCTTATTTTGTTCTCCTGTGAAATGGGGCAATAATCCTCCTGCCTCTTCTTCCTTCGGAAGGATCAGGGACTAAGAGACCTGTGATCTTGCTTGTATGTCGGTCTTTACCTCAAGGAAATGATCAATGAGCCTGAAATACTGTCGTGTGACTGCTCTTTACAATCAGGAAGACATAGTTAGAAAACAGAGTCCTGGGCCCGGGTGTGCTGGAATCTGAATTTTAGAGGAACTTGCTGAAGCTCTGTTGCAGCCCTGTCCTGCCGGGCTGGGGACAGCTCTCTCCTGGTTTCCCAGGGCTAATATCTCTGCAGAGTGTGCCCTGGCCTGGCCTGTCTGACAAGAGCAGGTGATGTGGGGAGGGACTCAAGGGCCTCCTGAGACCTGGGGTTTGGAGCTGCCCAGGACGAGATCATCCCTGGTCCCTCTGGATTCCTCTGATCACCCCTCACCTGTGCTTTTCCCCTACACTGCCCTCTGCCCAGTGTAGGCCTCCAACAAGTTCCTGACCTCCAGTGTGCCTGACCTCAATTTCCTGAAGCCCTAAGGGCTGGAACAAAGTTGCTAAACTTTCTGGATAGTGCAGAATAGCAAACACCTTCGGTTTTTCTGGATGTATGATCTCTGTTGTAATGACTCAGCTAATGTAGGTCAGAAGCATCCATGATTACTCATGAACCCCTGTGTAGGCCCTAATAAAAGGTTTCTTTAAAAATAAAAATAGCACAACAACAAACACACAACTTCCAGAATGGGAGAAGATATTTGCGAACCACATATCTAATAAGATCTACGAGATGCTCCTGCAACTCAGTAGGAAGCTCAAAAAAATAGGCAAAGGACTTGAGCAGGTTTCCTCCAAAGAAGACATAGAAATGACCAATAGTTACAAGAAAATGTGCTCCCGTGTTAACATCAGGGAACTGAGATATCATTTACCTTTGTTAAAACGGCCATTACTTTTTAAAAAGTAAATGTTGATGAGAACGTGGGGGAAAAAAACCTTCGTGTGCTGCCTGTGCCAGCGTACAAATGTGTAGCTCTGAGGGAGAACAGTATAGAGGTTCCCCAAAAGTAAAAGTAGAACAATCAAATAGCCCCACAACCCCACTTCTGGATGTGCCCCAAAAGAATTAAAATCAGCTGCGTATAGTGGCGCATGCCTGTAATCCCAGCACTCAGGAGACTGAGACAGGAAGATTGCTGTGAGTTCAAGGCCAGCCTGAGCTACACAGACCCCAAAAAACAAATAAAAAAAGCTAAAATCAGAATCTCAGAGATATTTGTATTCCTATGTTTATTGCAGCATTATTTACAAGAGCCAAGATATGGAAACAATCCACGTCTTCCAACAGATGGATAGATAAAGAAAAGGTAGGACACATATGCAGTGGAATATTATCCAGCCCTAAAATATGAGGAAATTGACAACATGGATGAACTCAGAGCACACTGTGTTAGGTGAAAGAAGCCAGGTGCACAGTGACATACTGTAAGAGTCTTCCTACCTGAGGACCCTACAGGAGTCAAGCTCCTACCACAGGGTGGAACTGTGGTTGCCAGAGGCTTGGGAGGGGGAGGTGGGGGGACTGTGCAGCAGATGGAAAGTTAAATTATGCAGGGTGAATGTGGTCTGGAGAGCTGCTGTAGGATGTGTACTTCTGGTTGACAGTACTACACAGAACATTTAAATTCCTTTAAGAAAATAGGGCTCATGTTAATTGTTTGCACCAGTATTAAAAAGAAAAAAGAGTAGGCAGTGGTATGAGCTTGGGCTCCCAGGTTCTCAAAGCCACAGATTGCTACCCTTCGAACCTCACCCTGCCCCTCGTCCCAGTGGCCGCCTCAGGGGAAGGATAAAATGGTCAGAGGCTTGAAAAGAAAAGCATACTTCAAATCCTCTACCTCAGACTCCTTCGTGAATATTTTTGCAAATCAAATATCATTCCCTGATTTAGCTTTGCAGGGAAGATGCCTCTTCCTACACTGACTTTCCTGTAGCTACCTGTACAGGACACTTGAGGGCCATTAGATTCTGGAACGCTCTGGCAGGGACGGCTTTCTGAGCCTTCCGGTCACTTCAGGGATGGATCTGAGAGTGGCTAGAAGGTGGTGGGGGACTCGTTCAGATGCCACTGATTTCTGTGCGCCCCTGACCTGTCCCATTGCTCCCCTGAACCTTTGTGAAATGGATCATAAACAAGACTAACCTCAAACCTGTCAGATGCCATGTGGCGCCTGGCACAAAGTGGGCGCTTGGGAAATGGAGCAGATTAGGGTTACCTTCACCTGGGTTCAGCCCCAGCCCCAACCAGGGACTCCTGAGGACAGGGAGCCATCCTTGAAGGGAAGAAGAGAGGTCCCTCTGCATTCAGCCAGAGCCCTGGCACCCACATCTGCCCCAACTTATGATGCAGTGCCATCTTCCTTGTCTGTGTTACAGCTAGGATAATATGTGGCGAGTCCTTTCAAAACCATCTTTGGAGCTGGTTGTGGTGGTAACACAGGCTTGTAATCCCAGCACTCTGGGAGCCTGAGGCAGGAGGACCTCAAATTCAATCTCAGCCTGAGCAACCGAAACGGGGTTGGGGATGTAACACAAGGTGAAAGCTTAGCTTTAATTGCCAGTACCACAAAAGCAAAATCATTTTATATTTTCTAAAAAGTAAATTTCCTTAAGGGAAAATACTAAGCCAAGAAAGAGTAACGGAGGAACCTGTGCTGACTCAGCCAGGAGGCACTGGGAGGCCCTGGCCAGACAGCTGCGGAGCCAGGAAGCAATCGCACGGGAACCGCATGTTTTTGAGGGTTCCCCTCTTCCTCAGCTCGGGTCTCCTTGCCAGGTGGAGCAGATGATGAGCTGACACTTCAGGGAGGCTAAGCGTGTGTTTCACTCAGCCCAGGGCCCAGGACAGGCAGCACCTGGATTAATTTGATAGTGGAAGGGGAGCTCCTGGGAGGGACCTGGAGCCGAAAAGGGGTGTGCTGTGCTGAAACGGGAGACAGCAGTGGGGCGGGGCTAAGGCACGCGGTGCTCCTGATCAGTGACCCAGTATCCAGCCCAAGTCCCAGTTTCAGCAGAGACAGGGGAGATGCTGGCTTTGGGGAAGTGACCTCTCCACGGTGTCTCTGCTACTCTTCTATCAATCCAAAGTTATGCCCAAACGCCGAGTTTATTTGAAAAGATCCACAGGGATGGAGGCAAGGGGCATAGTTAATCTGGGAAGGGAGGTGTTGAAAGCAGTTTAGGAACTTAAAGAACATCCTGAAGAGGAGGCAGGCCAGAGAAACAGGGAGAAGGGTGCTTCTTGCTGAGGACGCAGCTGCGTCTCTGTCTCCTCTCTGGGTGACAGGGTGGGAAGGCCAGCCCTCCTCCACTTCCTGCTCCCTGCAACACAGCAATGGTGGCCCTCATAGAGCCCCAGCCTGGGCCCCTCAGGGTCCCGGCGCTCAAGGCCTCTGCTTTCACTTCAGGCCCTGACTGCTCCCCTAGACTCAGCTGGCCCTAGGCGGTGGGATTCAGGGCAGGCTTGCTGAGTCTGTGACCCGGGC